CGTCTTGCTTCTATCTGCTCTAAGCAATGTTTCTCACCAGTATGTAGATGCTATTACCAAGGTTAGACTCGATAATTTCGAATAAATTGAGCATTGGGTAGATTGTTATAAATAAAATAATAAATTTGTAATATCCCAGTGAGTAGAAAAATTAGATTTTTGGCTCATTGCGATATTACAAATATATTATTTTATTTGTATTCTCACCAATAGTTCTTTTGATTAACTCAAGTTTTATCCAGGGTTTAAATAGCATTTCAATCATGGAATATTCTAACACCAGGCTACTAAAAGAATTAAAGTAAATGATAAACAATTACTTAACGAATCATACCGTTTAAAAATGTTTCATTATTTTAATCTTAGCGATATAAGACGAAGACATGAACTGATAAAACAAATAATAACACACCAATGGGTTTTTTGTTCAGTTTATCTGATAGTATGAAATTGTAATATTTACTTTAAAAAATAAGCCATTTCAACATGAAACCAAGTATATTCATAATACAGACCTTTCAGCATTAGTTAGAATTGCAGCTATTTACATAAGTTTAATTGTTTAAGACTATTTTTATTAATCTTTATCTTTCATTTTTAATTCTATTTGTTTTTCTGAGTTAAATAACAACCTTTGAAGTACCCCATACATGTATACATATATAAAGTCATTCGTAAGATTAATATTGATCTATTATTGAAATACATACACACATGTCTTATACAGCTCATATAAAATACCGGTATGTTGAAATGGTGGGGAACAAGTTCGGGTTTTTTCTACTTCTTTTGAATTCACAATGAATTAAAAAAGAGGAAATAAATCACATGTGAATACTTAATAAGATAGCTGGTGTCAGAAATACTTATATATCTTTTAGATTCAGATAGAAAAATTATTAGTGTAGAAGAAATAGTTATCAATATAAAGAAGTTACTGAAAAAAATGTTAGCCAACGAAGATTTATTAGAAAGTTCAGGTTGCACAAATATCCATTCAGCTTCAAAACTTGATGATCTAACTCCAAAGAATGACATCATTTCGTTTCAATCAGTAAAGCATAATGATGAAGTTATTGCAAACAATTAGTCACTCAAATATTCTTTGTTTTTGAGCATACAATTAGGACTTGTATACTGTAGGAATATTGTAAACTAAGGTACATTGAAAAGTGGTGATAGTTAAATTCAAATCAAACAATCTTCATATACCTTCACTAGTGATTATTTCTATGTTTAGCATAAATGAACATCAAGTTTAATCACCTATTTATTACTTTCTGTATTTCAAACGATTTTTCGATAGAAGACATAATCGAAGGAGTTCAGTTTAATTGAGATTGAAAGGGGAATTTCTAAAGTCATTAGATGGTCGGGTTATAATTTTCGGATTGACTAGTGCCGAGCATGTGAAATACAATGGTCTAAATATATGGTTCATTTTGTAAATTGAATACTCGTTTGTCTAATCTCATGTGATATTATTGCTGCGAAGATTTCCAAGTTGAAACATTACGGTTATCCGTCACTTTCTGCTTTTAAAACAGACCCTTATTGATTTCAGGTTCTGATGTAAACTAATTTAATCAACTTTGATTTTGAAATTAATGAAAATATTGGCTTCAAAGCAGATCATTATTGACTTACCCTGAAGGGATTGCCTATTCACTTTCGTAATAGGATATGTTGGATAAAATGATAATCGGTGGTTCGCGAATACAATCACATAATTATTTTACGTCTTATTTATTAAGTCAATAGTAGTAAATGATCGTTCATTGGTCGAATCTCTCTAAACTCAACCACAATGTGAGGGGTTTGAACTCATCTCCATTTATTTCTCCGTTTAACAAACATTAGCTCTCATATTTAAAGCCTAAATACACAAACCTATTCTCTATTAAGGAGTTATGGTAAACTTGGTTATTCAGTCTAATAACCATTTGAATAATATTTTACGTGATTACTAAAGTTCACAAAAATCTTAATAATCATTTCCTATGCTAATCAATATTTAATCCTTGAGCGATTTGGTGTAAATTTTGCTTGTGAAATGGTTTGCAATTGTTTGACTATATCTGCTATTTCTTTTTTTAGTCTCGTCTTATCTTAAGTGTATTTATTATGAATCACAAGGAATATAGTTTCATAAAAAGTGCAAAAATCACTGTAAGTGTGAATAAGCACCACTTATTATGAATTGACCTCTATGTCAATATACCATTGACAAATCTTGACAATATTTGAAAGCACAAGAATATTTCCTATGATTCAAACAAGTATTTGGTTTTACTGGAGTGAATTTCACAACCTGTAAAGTATCTGAACTATCCAACCATAATTTTTGAACATGGTTTAGGATATTTTGCAAGTACTTTAAAATGATTTTTATCATGAACCAGGCACAAAATTAGGAATGACTGAAAATCAGGTATAGATGAACAGTTATTTCGTTCTAAATCACGTAACTCGCAGTGGATTCAAAGCTCACGGGGTTTTCACCTTACCTTTTTGTGCTTTTTTAAATGCAAACTGATGACGAGCCGGAAAACTAAGACAAAACGGCTAACAATCTGAAGTCAGTTTCATTTTTTAATGGTTTTTCAGCGGAAAAACCATAGAAAACAAGGGACTATTGAAATATTATTTTGATCTGACTTTCTCCATCGGTACACTTTCCTAAACTCAGAAATTTCTTAATGAAAGAGATACAGGCGGCCATTGAGTCAAAATCCAGTCGTTCAGCTTCTCAAATCCAATCAACCTACCAAAAGCAATAACCAATGGACTACTCAGCTTATGATTATATTACATAAAAATACTGTACTATACAAGATCAATGTGTGCCCATAGAATCAATGTTTTGTACAATAAAACCAGTTTTTCTCTCCACAAATTGGTACTTAAGGAAATTCATACCAAAAACTATGTATTGCGAAAATATACTGACAGATAACATGACGTCCAGTAAGTTGAAGGTGGTAGTAACTATTTACTATTTTTGACCGCCGTATACGAGTAGTGTAGGAACAATAACAGGGCGGATTTGCTTGCATATAGCATACAATTCTCTTTGAACCTAGCACACAATAATACCGTCATGTACTGTCCCATTGCCCTTGGCAGATTAGGCTACCCGAAAGTCACGAGAACACCATCAGGGTATACGACAAGTTGGGTAACTAAAGAGTAGTATAATAGCGATATTTATTGAATGTATCTTTCAGCACAAACCCACTGATGGTGTCTTCAGTAGAATTATTGTTTTTAAAACTCAAGTTATCCTCGGATGTAATTCAGTTTACTAAAATAGTATAATGAGTGTTTCCAAAACCATAATGTAAAATCTTGAAAAATATTATAACTGTACAAGGATTAACAGATTAACCTATCCTACAGATCATGTTTTGTCTATCCAGATATCCGTTTGATCTACAGATAAGTTTACTTTAATGAATAAGGTCTGGAAAGAACAACCGAGTAGACATATTTCTCCAACTTCCCATAATTTTTAATTAACTTGAAGTGAAGTAAAAAAACCTAGTCCATAAAGAAATCAGAGCAAACTGAATACGTGCAAATTTTAAATACTTACAGATAAAAATAATGTCACATAAGCTACAAGAATTTGAAGTAATGAAAAATTCTTAAAATGATGTATATCAGGCTTGTATTTTAGTCTTTTGTCTGAATTTCTAACAAAGTATTTTTACTACTAACAAGTAATATAGTTTTGAAGTACAAAACAGACTAATAACCTTATGACATTGGTTATCTTTAAAGCGGGAATACTCACTAGGGATCGGTGTCAAATCTAGCGTGGCGGTACTGTAAGATCGACTAAGCAGAATTGAAACCTACTCAAAGTACTTGGTTATGCTCATATATTATTTCTACTACTAGAAACAGATTGTCAGACGCTAATCCTCTCAAAATAACCAACAAACAACATTGAAAACTAACTATCAGAATTCTGGAGAAACCAGTATGAGCAACAGCTTCATAACCCTGCCTAAAAATTCTTTAACTATTTTGGCTTACTGTATTTAACCTTCTCTAGTAACTCTGCTTTTTGGTGTATACTGATGCAGCAGAAAAGTCGCGTCCCTTGTATAGGATGGCTTAATTTATTAAATCGTTGAATTGTGTAGCTTGAGTTTAGAAATATGACTACTTAAGCCTATCGCAGGTTGGTTTAGTAAATGAAAGTTTTTCCAACAATCATCAAAACGATTACAAACTATCCTTCAAATGTGATTTGATGTGTTACGGGGGAATTCGGTTGGAAAATCCCTGATAGAAAATTAGGTGCATGACATTAAAGATTGTCAGGCTGAGAACTCTTGTTAAAAACGAAACTTGGTCAGTATGTATACTGGGAACAAGAGCTAACAAATCTCCACTATTTTGAGTGAGAAGAGTACCGAAAGATAAACGGCACAAATAGTACTCTAATGCCCATCGTTAATCGATATTTAAATGACTCAATTTGACTTTTCTACACTAGGGTGACTGTATAGGCCTACACAGTGAGCAATCAACACATAAAGTAGAGCAACATTTTGATACCTGACCTTCAATAAGCGATGCAAATGTTTAATTTCTGTTCACTTTTAACATTTACTTCTGTATAAAAATTTATAATTATTGTGATATCAGTTTTAAGTAAGACATCGACAATCTAGCAAATGAAAATATGAATTAGCATTAAATACACTATTATATTCAGCCATTAGGTACAGTTATATTATGCTGACATAGTTCAAGTTTATAAGATTTTCTTTTGAAAGTCCTTTTGTTCTTTAATTAATTGGCCTGTGACACTTCTTACTCTCAGTCCTAACTGTTCTCCGACTATTCATGTTTACGCCGTTAGTAAAAATTTAATGATCGGAATTTGTAGATGGACGATGTGTTAATAATCTGTAGGTAGTTGAAATAAAACATTTATTTTTTAGGTGGATCTAGGTCTATTCGCTTTAAGCCACTTAGTTAGAATTCAGAGGTCTATACTTTTATTAATACTTAAAAGATAAAATGGTTCAGTTTCCACCCAATATTACTGAAACGATATGGTTAAGTGGATTGAGAATAAAATAAGCCAAAAAGGTTATCTACGTCTATTACAATGAATAAAAGGATATCCGGGTTGAAATTTTAATATTAGAAAAGTAATCGGTGGCAAAATTATAATCATCATGATGAAACTCGCAACAGACATTGCAACGTTTAGCACAGACAGAGAAAAGATTAAACAAATACTACTCGTACTCACATTTGAAGGGGGTTAAGCGCCAAACTGATTGATAAAACACCAACAAGGAAAAACGCTGACAAAACAGTTTATCGTAATTAATGGTAACAGATAACATCGTACAAATATCACAAAGGGTTAGAGGCTTGTGCATAAGAACTATTATGGATGCATCAGAGTTGGAGGAAAAGAAACCAAAAACGTTCTTATTAGCACTTCTTTGTTTGTTTCATACACAAATTGTAATCAAATCCAATCAAAATCAACAAACAGTTTAGTTGATCTCACATGGTTAATAACACCGTAAAATAGAGACTCGAGTGTAAAATCACGAAAGGAAATCTATGTAGACTCATGTTGGCGTTATTTTATACTTAAGCTTCTTCAACCTGATGTAACAGCAGCACAATTTCGTAATCATAGAAAGCAGAAAACAAACACTTGTAGGGTTAAAAACGTTGAGAACAGTTCACACAAAGCATAAACAATTATTTATTTTGCATGGTATGTAACATTTGATGAAATATGATAATCTGAATCGTTAATGTTTTTGTGTTACTTCCTCGATTATCTTGACTAACGTTTGAATAAAAGTTTTAATCTAAAACGAGAAAAAGTATTTAGAATTGAAATTGAGATTAATTTTTGTCATTAATATGCACATAATCATATTTTGCAAAAACACCAGAACATCTTTAAAATCAGCTTAACTAGTTTTATAATACATATGATGGATTTTTTCAAATAGTTTATCTATAAAACGGTTATATTTGTCATGAGGTTGAAACTTTAGTCTAATTAGTCCATTTCTATCACTCTTTGCACTCTTCGTAGGTAAAAACCATTGAGGTAAATCTGATTAAATTTTTGACTGATCCCCAGCTTATTCAACGTACTTATAGAAATCCGAGAAATCAAAGTAGTATATATAATATGAAATCCCTCTACACCTTTATATTGTTATTACACTAGTTACCAACGCTTCAAATTCAGGTTAATGAAATTTTGTAGGCGGCATACTTATAGGAGCCATCAAACTTAACAGGTACATTATTCAATAACTAATTAAAAAGCATATTCTCTTTACCAGAACACTTACATGATAAAACGGAGCATCATATTTTCATCACAGATTTCTCCATGAATTATCAAAGAAAAGCTCTTATAATCTTATTCGAAACTGAAATATTATTTTTTTAACCCAAAAACGCTTTGTATCAGAAGATTTCTAGTTATCTGAATATTAAATTTAAGTAGGCATATCCGTAATTATATTTAATATCAAGTATTCTTAGCTAAAAACACATTAAAGACGTTCGAGACCTTACTCAAAAGCATGTGAGTGGTATGCTGATATGCCACTAAATTATGTACCACACACTTTGCTGCTACAAATTATGTTTTTGGGAAGATTTTCACAATAAAACTTTAATTCATTTAACTTTGAAAGTTATAATTCGGTTTGTCTTATGTCCGTCTGTATGATAGCATACTGTTGGTCAACTTTATACATTAAAATGTCAAAAAATGAGCAAACAACAATTATAAATAATACTGGTGGACCAGTAAGTGAGGCGTAACAAGTATCTTCTTCAGGTTAGAATCTGTCTGATGTATATGCACGTTTGTTTCATATGAGCATTTCATATAGTGATGGTAAGTGATCTTTACTCAACTGAACGGTTGCATGTGTGCATCTGAACAGAATAATAAGATCCATCTTCACGTTTGTGAAACAACTGGTTCGAAGTTTATTTGAAATTACCATTAAATATACGAACAACCGCATGATGATATATAATATTTAACTCACTGCTCTTAGTTGTTTACAAGTTTCATTAGGCTTGGCCGATTCGCCATACTTCTGATGTGATCGTACGATAGTATACATATTAGCAACAGCTCTGTGAATGAAAATCGATTATATACAATTCCGATTTACATAACTATGGTACTAAGTTCATAAATACGATTAGCAGCTAAGTCCCTTGTGTGCTCCCACTGAGTCTCTTTATTTCTCCCACTCATTTGTTGCAACTCCAAGTGATTACGAAGCTCAGCTATTTCGTTAGTTAAAGAGAGTTTCTCATCTTGTTTTGTCTGATGAACTATATCAAGGTATATCAGTTAAATTACCTTCTTAAAGTGAACAAGTTCACTGCTTTTGTTGTCTACAAGTTTCTGTGTTTTTGCATCTGAACTTCTTAGATCCTGCAACTTTGTGGGTTTTCTTAAATTAACTAACCTCTAAGTTGGCTTTCAGAGCGTCGTATCGTGATATGAGTTCATAAATATCGGAAAATTCATCGGACATTTTAACAACCGACTCCAGAAAAAGCCGGTATTTAAGAAGCGACTTGACCTTTCTTTCTTGCTTTTCACGCATTTTGGTAAATCTTGCAATATCGTCATTTAGACTACGGAAATTTCTTAAAGTTAAACTATTAGTTACATATTGATTTCAGTTTGCTTTTGCTGTTGTAAGCCTTTTTCTGTTGATATTTTTTTCGTCGCTCTTACTCTCTTTTCATCATTATCTTTAAAGAACTGGTCAAACTTTATGAGTGATTCTTTAAGTTCACATTCTTTTTTCTCAAGGTCTTCTCTCCTTCTTTGCATACATTCCATTTAACACTAAACTCCTGTTAGAATATTGACCATAGCGATTAAAATCATTGTACTTCTTTTTTGGCCGTAAGTGCGCTTTGAACACTTTTTAGCTCTTTATATTTTTCCAGAAGTTTGGTAGAATTGGTTAAGTTTCTGTCTTCATCTGCAGGTGCATTACTTAAAAATGAATAGAAATAGTAACAAGAGTTACACCAGTAGTTTTTCTTGAAACACAGTTTTCAGATATTCTTCAATGGTAAACTCTGTATTCTTTAAAGCTTTTGTAAACGAATTAGACTTTTCAATTTTCGACTCCATTTAAAAATTAACCTTGTAAATAACTAAGGTATCACATACTTTGAAAAAGTAAAACTACGACAAGGTCAGATGTTCAAAGTGGATCCATACTGAGAGATAATAAAAGTTGACTTCCTGTTACTAAGCCTCTAGCATTATTTTCAGTATTAAAACTCATTTTACATCCTTTAGTCCCAAGCGAACTGAACAGAACATGAAAGTGTTTCGAACGGTTCAAATGGTTACAGACTATATAGAAGAATCTTTCGCTTAAAGGGCTTCCGTATCTAATTAAAATGAGCTTCCGATACATTTAGGCAAATGCCTAGGCATATTTCATGATTAAAAGAAAAGTAATTGCAAGTTGTGTTGGAGGTAGCTGCTGAGTCGTTAAGAATAGATCACGCGTACTCATGAAGGACTCCATGGAAGTCTCTTGAATCAGATAAGTCGCCATTGGGTTCCAGAATCTGACCATCTGGTCCATTTTGTTGCGCTAAGCCTCCAATTTCTAGGTATTTATAACAAAATGTGTAATGACTCATTTTAGGGGATTCCAGGGATGTTACAAACCACTGAAAGATCACTTCTAGGGGCTAGAAACGTCAGATGACAAAGATTCAGTGGGTTAAAGCGCTCTTCATAAGGTTCGATTTCAAGCTCTTGAACTGATTTCATGGATTTCTTCAAGATACGTTCCAGTGTATTCTCATCCTTATGAGGAGCGTACTCTAATTGGGCCCGAATAAAACTGTCAAAGATTAAATAGAACATTTTGCTGTCAAACTCCAGAAAAGTAGGTTGAAAATTACTAGTGCACATTTTTCTTGGAAAGCACTTTCATCACAGAATAATACTTGAGATCATAAGATACCAATACACCTGGATCTTTTTCAACTTTGAACACCTCTTGGGATGCATTACCTAAGTCGGATGCACATTCAGCAACAGACGGACTACATCGCAATTTAAAATGTTAAAAGCGAGCCAATTTTATCCGTTGAACGTCAAAGTCGAGTCAGGCTCTCCAGATGTACCAATTATCGATTAAGTTTCAAAACTCTTCCTAAAGTTTCGAAATTTAACAACTTTCACTGTCTTTTATTATGGGTTGTCTCGGAAACACATTGTAATAAGGATGATCACCAGAGAAATTATATCTGTATGCTAACTTGTGAACAATAACAATAATAATTCTGGCAAATATTAATTTGGAAAACAGCCCTCCACCTTCCTAAACTATGTACTTGATATTTAAGGTACAGAAACAGTTCTCAAGTGAACTCAATTCATCAAAAATGTTTTTTTACTTGGTTCACCCACGAAACCCCACGCTTCATTCCGTAGTTTGCTAATATAGTGGGGCCAATAACAAAATTATAAAGACAATTTGCTAAATCACTAACAGTGACACTACATGAAATCCAGGCCTTTGAACAGTGGAAAGACACCATGAGCATGAAAGTATTACTTGTATGGAGGAACGTTGATGCAGCAGTAATAACCGACTCTTCTAATGTAAAAGTAAGTGTTGTACTATGGCGACGTGTAAATCAGTAATGGCAGTCTTTTGTACTTGTCTCGAATAAGCTTAGTGTGACAAATTCAATATAGCACTTTCAATAGAGAACTTTTAGCTGTCTAATTGGCCATCAAATACTTCCGATACGTGTTAGAGGGCGATTCCTTCACGCTGTTTACTGACCATAAACCTCTGACCAAAGCCTTGATACATAATCATGGCAAATATTGTCTGCTTAAAATTCTCCGACTGGCATTCATTTCGCAATTTTCAACTAACGTGCGTTATATAAACATAAAAAGATGACGAAGACGCATTATCGAGATTATATACTACCATATTTTCAACCCTTGATATCACTTATCAAGTCATAGCCCAAAGTCACAAGCTCAGTACGGAATTAGAAAAATTTCTGCAACCCAAAGAAACAACATTATTATTTTTAAACATCCTTATAAACAACAAGGACGCATTGGCCTATGATATCTCGATAGGTAAAACTCACCCCTTGGTATCTTTTTACACCAGACGAAACCTTTTTGAAAAGTTACACAATATATCTCAACCAGGTATAAAAACCATGGTAAAGCTGGTTGCAGACAGATTTGTATGGTCAAGCATAAACAAAGATTTACGAAAATGGACACGGGAACATATACAATGCTAATAGTCGAGAGTCTATAGAAACATCATGATTCCTTCACATGTTTTTCCTGCCACTAGCGCTTTTTTCTACCAAATCCATTTCAGCGTCCTTAGGCCATTGACAAGCTCCAATGAGTATACGCATTTTTCAACATGTTCAAACAGATTAATGAGAAAACCCATGTCTGTCCAGTCAAAATAGACGACAGAATCAACTGTGGCAAAGAAATTGTTGAAACACTGAGTTATAAACTTTGATGTCACAACAAAATTACGAACAATTGTGGAGAGCGGTTCGAAGGCAAGCTATTCCGGTAGCTTACGGAAACTTTAAGTATAAGGAGGGAAAGAGTCACAGCCTTTCATCCGGCAGCTAACTGAATGACAGAAATGTTTCATTGACCGCTAGAAGTCCCACTGACATCCACGAGGAAAGGTTTCAAATGGGATACCTCTTGTACTGTTAAGTATCCTCGCAACTATCAGACAAAGCCTCAGTTGATGTGCTGCAGAATTGGTTTATGACGCAACATTACGCCTGCCAGGTGAATTTTGTGATCGTTTAAGTGATACTCCAACAGAAATAACCAACCGTCTACAGCGACTGAAACAACAGATGAAGTATATTGGGTCTTTCAAACCACGAACCTGGAATGCAAGATCATTGATACCTAATGAACTAGACAATCGCTTACATGTATTCGTCAGGAATGATAAAGCAAAACAGTCGATACGGACCCTTTACGACACTCCATTTAAAATCATCTGAAAAGACAGCAAAACAGTCACAGTGGAAAGAGCAGATAAATATGACACAGTTAGCGTCGACAGAATGGAACCAGAGTTTTTAGTGAGCACTAAAAAACGAACAACAATGGAATCGCCTAGACCCACCCCAGAGTTAGTACCAAACAACCTACTTGCAAGAAACAGTGCCATTTCCTAATGTAGCCTATTGCAGTCTTCGTATAGTATGTGTGAGTACATCGAACTGTACAAGAATATTAATAATAGACAGATACCCGGGCGACGAACGTTATGTATTTTCATTGCAAGTGAAAAATTTCAATGTCCTGTATGAAGATCTGCATAGGACGTTACAGGTAATGGATTTCTAACTAGGAATGTGTTTTAGTTGGTAAGTACATATGAAATCAAACTGGCCGTAATAAGATACACTTCATTGGTCCAAGCGTTTCACATGCTAGTCAGAAATTCATCTCAGTAAGAAAAGGTTCATTAAATAATAATTCAAACATAAGAATACATTTCAACAATAACGCTCCCTTAAACTGTAAGGTTCTTATTCGAAAACTAAGTAATCTTCCTGTGACATCTGTAACTTAATAGACATAAAACCTTACAATGACGTTTAAATGCCATGGTTTGTCATACAACTATCGACTTGATGTATGACTTACAGATATGGTCATTAATACTGAACGCTGCACCTATAAAACAGAAGTGAATAGTTAATACTTTAAATTGGTGTATACACGATTGTTTCTTTCTATAGAAATTTTGTATTTTGTCTCTCACGTCGTGAAAACACTTGTGTCGCGATGCCATAAACTTTAGCAAATTGTTTTTTGTTGACGGCTAACATTAGGAATAGCGATGTCAGTGAGCCTAATGATTAGAAAAAAGCACTTTCCACTTTGTATGCTGCCGTAAAACTTGCACTTCTGAGGCGCTCTCTCCTATGAAGTGTCAGAATGTCAGAAATGGCTGGCAACTTCAAGTGTTTTGACGTATAATATAATATAGCACGTTAACTTTTTTGGAATTTCACCCATTGACTGCATCACCACAGCCATTTGGTATGTGAAGTAATAATCCAGTGGATTTAGTAGACCTACAAATTTGTCTCTCATATCTTCTTGCTGAGGCCACGCATTCAACGTTCACAGTCCGTCTTTAGATGATAAAGAGAACTGCAAACTTTCTAGTTCAATATCAAGTTTTCAGGTTTGTTCATGTCCATCAAGTCTGATATAGTTGTTGACATGTTCTTCAGAACAGCATGTAGTTTATTGCATGTTAAGTGTATACCTCAAAAGAGATATATAAAAATATAAGTTCAGTAAGCGACATGTTCAAACAGGGTACTTTACATATATGTGTCTACAAATTCCCCCCAAAAACACAACGCAAGGGGGAAAAATGAACATTTCTCCTAAATACTCGACGTCAGGGAAAATCAGCTTTTCCCGTTTATTTACTCACATCTCCTTTATTGGTTGTTTGGAACATTTATGTCTAGGCGAGAGGCAGACAATTAGGCGTGTAGTTCCGCGAAGGGTAGACAATTCAGAAATGTTTCAAACACAGAGGGACAAAAAGGACAAAATACACATTGTTTTCCCACGACAGGTGAAAAGGAGAGTTTTCAACACGTTTCCACATTATTTTCCTTTTTGTTTTCTAACAGAATGTCTCCCTTATCCCTGCTTTATTGGTTGCTTGGAGTTATATCAGTACCGAAGCTCATACTTTGAATATGTTCACTTAATCCTCGTTATTTTAAACAATGTTTAGTCAGGCTTCATCACTTGTTCATTCGGAATCATAGACGGTTTTAGAGTAGGCAAGTAATTAATTTCAGTCTGTAGTGCACGGTTGCTCCCGATTGGTTATCACTATACGACTGAGAATTTATCGCTCTTTAAATAAACTGCTCCGTTGGAGTAATAGTGCTGACAAACTTGATGTATTTATTTTCAGTAAATCATGCCGTTCTGGTGTTAGTTGTTGGGAACGTAGCACCTATTTTCAGTCCACCAACACTTAATGGACCTAAGTAATACGTACTAGAACTTTTGAAAGTTTCTGTCCATACAGTTAAAACTAATGTCACAAGTTAATTTTGGATTTCGACCTCCC